ACGTCCCTCAAAACTAAAGATTGTTCAACAGAGAGTTTTTAACTTTTTAGGAAAAAGAACCTCTACATTTCCTGACTTAGATGTTCAAATTTTATAGCATGATCATTAAGAACCTTAGATTTCTTTTCTTCCTTATTTTATAATTTCATCAGACTCTTCGTGCTGACTTTGCCAATTTTGTAGTTGCTCCACTGGCACGAGAGAAGGAGAGCATTCTCTCACCAGATACAGAGTTCGACTACTGTGAACACAGTTTACATTTTTGATGTCATTTTGAACTACATACCTATTGTTTTCTTTCCTAGGTGATGGGGATTCTTCTGCTGTAATACATTACTTCCAACTTGTACTTAATCTATATAATTTATGCTTCACAGACTTTGAAAGATATTTATGACTATTACATTTTCATTGTAAATTCAGTCCTTAGTTGAGAAATAGGTACTTTTGGTCTCAATTCTAATCTCTCTGATCAAATGGCTTCTGGTTCTTTTGTTTGTATTTTCCTGGTTGTGTTGCCAATTTTTTTTCAATACTTTTTTTCTTTGAATATGAATATTCTAGTTTTTCTCATGTCCATTTTTATCTTTTCTTGAGTATAATATGTAAGCTAAATCATGTATACTTAAGGCACACAGAGTATTTTGAGATACATATATGTTACCAAACAATCCCTACCATCAACCTAATTAACATATTCCTCACTTCACCACCTTATAGCAAGTCTTACTTTCCTCCACTTAGGAGAAAGCAGGAAACATTTCTTATTCACACGATGGAAAACATGTTCTCAGCTTCTCATTCTTGGAGACATTTAAATCAGGTAAACATCATTCTAGATGAGACCCTGATATCCTCACAGAGTAACACACTTTGAAGTTTAAACAAATTGGCAAAGCCACGTATACGGTTTGTCACCTGCTGTTTCACTGTATGAAGGGCTTTTCTCTCAAAAATTCATGTTGACAACGTTGATAACCATTGTTGATAAACTTGTACTCTGTTCTACACCATGTGCTATGTCTATCCTTGGTATTGACTGACAGCTTTGTTTTGCCATATTTGACTGTATTCTCCCCCCCCAAAAAAAGTAATAAGAACTAAGGAGTAATAAATTCCAAAATGTGTAAATTTTGTAGTAAAAAAGAGAGGGGAAAAAAAGAGCTCTAACGGATATAACAGCAAGTGTGTTTGGGGGTGTTAAATAGCTGACTTTATCAATGTTTTTGGAACATTGAACACAGCTGTTTGCAGTCTCCCTGTTTGAATGTCCACCTTGTGTTCTTTGATACTGTGATTTGAGTAACTATTTTCAAGAAGATAGTGTGTAATCTACTAGCAGGTGATTTCTTACTGTTATGTTTTGTTTTGTTTTGTTTTGTAGTTCTGTATTGCGTGTACCCTTACGCCGCTTTGGTTTGTTTTGTGTTTTTCTCTTTTTCCTCTTAAATAAAAAAAAAAAAATTCATGTCAACATCATGGTCACTTAAGCATACAATTAATAATTTTTTCTATCTCACTACTCTCACTCATCATGATTTCTCTCAGTCTTTTCAAATCAGTGTTTACTTCTTCTATAGTTTTCATTTTAAAAACTGTATTTTAGAGATTTTCTTTGCTTTGAAGATACGCAGTACAAATTAAGTATTTATTAAGCCTCAATAAATTTACAAAACACTCTGAACCAGAGCTGATGATCACACTTAACTGGCCAAATGGTCTAATTTCCACATGAGGAATGGGCGGTGGGGGGCTGGGAAGCAGGATGCATCACAGTGACAGGCTCTCAGGTACCCTGGGTCTCTTCAAGGCTGACCAGTGTAGCTCGGGTCAGTGACTCAGAGCTCACTACAGGTTTGAAAGGAAGGAAGAAATCTCAGTCAGATTCTCCATGTCAACCAATGTTGGTCCAAAAGACTGTGGGGACACAGCAGAGAAGGTGTTGTGACAGTCACAGATGCTTTAAGGCTTGATTCCTGTACAGACCCCAAGCACAAAAAAGCAATAGTCTAGAGTAGTATTTCATCATTCATAAAAGAGATAACGAGTTTGTGTCAAAAAATATCTATGGATTAGTTTTTAAAATTAGCAACCAAAACAGTGGGCGAGACTTAGAAACATCAATTCACAGAAAGGAAAATCGGAAAAGCCACAGATTGGAAGAGATGTGCAGGATCACTAACATGGGAAAATACAGTGAGAGGCTACTTTCCAGGAAGTAAATTAGGAAGACTGAAGAACCCCAGCAAAATCTAAGGAGGAAAAGCAAAATTTTCCTGCAGCACTAATGGGAAGAGAGTAGAAACCCATCCTGCTGCCACTAGAAAAGTTAAGCATAAAGGCAGCCCAACAATGTTATTTCTATGTGAAAAGATATTTGATGACATATTCTGTGAGAGAAAAGGAGGACCAGGAATCAGATCTACGCAGAGGGGAAAGCTGAACTTGGTTCAGCCTCCAAGACAGTCTCTGGCAGCACTGCAGGGAGCTGTGGATGGGAAATGACCATTCAGAGTTTTCCCTAGGTGAGCAGACATAGCCCAGCTTTGGTGTCCCAGCACTGAGCAGCCATTAGGTATGGGCCAAATGGGAAGAGTCTTGGTGGAGGCGGCTCTCTGCATCTGAGAGTGCTGACAGGGGAAGGCTGTGCTCCTACTGCCTGGCAGAAGCAGTAAGGCTTGCACTGAAGCAGGAAAAGCCTCAAGGTCACAGTAACTTAGGACACAGTTTATTCCTTGTTCCTGCAAGGCTACCATGGCTTAGCAGCTCCCAAAGTTCAAATAGAATTGCATGGTCACTCGGCTTTGAATTTTAATTTAGCTTTAATAGAATTATAATTTTTAATGAAGACAATATGCATTAAAATCAATATAATAATTTATAACTGTTCTTAAGGTACATGAAAAGAAATTCAAATGATGTCCAATGAAGACTATGAAATCTAAAGTGAAAACTGACTTAAAAGACTTTAAGCAAAGAATTACAAAAGTATTGGTACATTGGCTGTTCTAAGCATTGTGCACCATAGCTACAGTCATGCACAATACCCAAAGGTGGGGAGAAAGCAAAGGTCCACCAAAGGATGAATGGATACAGAAAATGGAGCCTTTCCCTAGTATGCAGTATTCTTTAGCCCTGAAAGGTAAAGAAATCCTAAAACAAAGAACCTCAGCACATTGTACTAACTGAAAGAAACCACAGACAAAGAGCTAAATGTATTATGCCACGTGTGTGAAGTGCACAACAGTGAAATTAATCAGTCACTCAAAGAAAATGATGGACACCAGTAAATGAGACACAGCAAAATTGGGAGTCAGTGTTTATTGCACAGAGTTCCATTCTGTCAAATTTCTAACCTGTACAGAATCAGTAAGTCATTAAATTATACCAATACAAAACAATAAATTTTATGTTACTTATGCTTTACCCCCATAAACATATTTAAAGCTAAATGTAGATATGTTGCAGGTTTCCTGATAGGTATAGTCCCACTGCAAAATTTCCCATTCAGCTGGCCTTACACTAAGACTCATCATTCCTGGTTGCCTCTTCTAAGGTAAGGTTTAGTTCATTTTGCAACTTTGCGATCTTTTAGACACACTTTCGTTTTTTGTTTGTTTGTTTGTTTTATTGGTACCAGGGATCGAACTCATGACTGCCTGCTTGCAAGGCAGGTGCTTATGTCGCTGAGCTAAATCCTCAGCCCCTTAGACTCACTTTGTTTTACATGTATCGTTTTTTACACAAATTTGCTTTTACATATGTTTAAGTATTACTCCATTTTACATTTCAGATACAGACGGGAGTCCTATTTTGATTATTTATTCTTGGTGATGCTAGGGATTGAGCCTAGGTTCTACCACTAAGCAGCATCCACATCCACAATAACAAACTTAGTAAAATAACTAAGGAGATAAAATGTCTCTAAAGTCAGAACTTCCAGCCAGATTCAGCTGATCAAACCTCTAGCTGCCCCATGAGCACTGGCTCCTGGGGTCTGAGAGTTGGCATGTGTAAACACTGCAGGACTGCGAAGCTCTGTTGAGTCTTACAGAGCATGGAAAGGCTGAGTGGAAGCCAGAATGAGTGAGGTCAGAATTTTTCCCAGATCTTCAGCATCCATCAGTGTGAGCCCGATTGACAGTGGGAGCTGAACCCACAGCACGGCAGGGGAAGTGTCCTGAGGGTGACAAAGTAAAGAAGAGGTGTCCCTGGCATCTAGTCCACAGCCTCAGGCACACTCAGCAATATGCGGAGTTGCAGGATGGCCCTCCCTCATCCCCTGTCATCCTATGAGGAGGGGCTTCCACTAGGAGCCTCAGCTATCATAAAATGAAAAAGCCTCAGACATCCTGAAAAACACGTCAACATTCACTGAGGACTGGCTCAGGCCACACCTGTGATATGACTGATACCTTCCAAGTACCCTGAGTTTATTAGACTTTGTGACTACAAAAAACACCTGAGCTGGGCTATTTTATATGCAAAAAAGCTGTTTCTTTTGGATTGCAGTTTTGGAGACTGGAAGTCTAAATTGCAAGAAGCAGTCTTCTGTAAGGTCACTGATTGCTTTAACACATCAAGTGTGTGTATGTGCGTGTGTCTCTATGACTGTGTGTGCATGCACACGATGTGCATGTGTACCTCTATATGCTGTGTTTTCCTCTATAGCACAAGGACCCAATCAATGGGACTCATGGCATAGTGGCCTAATCTAACTGGTCACCTCTCAAAAGGCTCACATCTAAATAAAATACATTCATTTTCTACCACCTAAATAGCATTATCTTACTTTTTGGGGACGGACAGAGATCTAACTCATGACCTTGCGCTTATGAGGCAAGCACTTGTGCCGCTGAGCTGAACCCCTGGCTATCACACAATTTTAAGGAGAAAATTTCTGCATTAGTTCATGGGAATAAACCACACTGAAAGACACAGTGCCACACTGGCAACCTGTTTCAAAGTCATACAAAGAGAGAAGTGTGTGTGTTCTTTATTAGTGAACATAGGCAGTTCCTGGGTTGGCTTTGTGTAGCATTACATCCAGTGGAAGTGAGTCAGTTGCAAAAGGTTTCTGGCAACATCTGCTGAATCCAGGATTGGAGAGGAATAAGAGTGCTCCATCCTTTCCACTTCACCCAGGTTTCCAGGGTTGATGCTGTTGCCAGCAGTTTTCCTGGAGAACTTTACCAAAGGCATATCTATGTTAGAAGCAGTCAGTAAGGAAACTTCAGGAAGATCAGTTGGAAGGCTGTCCAGGGACTGCAAGCAGGAACCAGGGTGCATAGGATTCTGAGAGTCTAGTGGGGAACCCAGGAATTGGAGATCAGGGGCACAACAACAGCCAGAAGTCTGCCCTGGAACCTGCAACCCAGTGCTCACAGACATGGGCTCCTCCACTGAAGCTTCCTCTTCAAGCAAGGGCTGATCCTGTGAACTAAGAACTGCATGCCCTGCGCCCACCATACGGAGTCCTTGAGTCTCAGGCAGCATTGTGGAGCCCTGAGCCTTCAATCTGTGAGGAGGACGACCTCTGCGCCTTCTGCCTGTTGAGGGAAGGAAATCTGATGAGAGCAGAGCAGAAGGAGTAAAGGACTGGATCTGGGTGGGTCTCTCGTAGCTGTTGATAAGCAATTCACTGTTGGAGGAGGAACAGTGTCTCTTCACAGGAGGCAAAACAGTGCTGTGACTGTGCCCTGAGTCCTCTGTATCACTGAGACTCAAGCCTTCCCCACTAGGCAGGTGCCTCTGTTGGGAGTTAGATCTCTTCCCATGAAAGCGCACTTTCCTCCCCGAGATCAGCTCCTGCCTAACAGGCACCCTGCATCCAGTGTGTTCCACAGTGACCACATCTTGTCCACATTTCCACAACTCATAGCGCTCAGGTTGCAGGATGCGCACAAATGCATCCATGGAAAAGCTGACCTTCACCTCCCCACAGGTGCACTGAGAAGCCACTTTACCATAATCAATCCACCGAGGGGTGGCAAAATTGATGGCCTCTGCACAGTTGAAGCCGTGGTTGAAGCCAGCATGATAGCCATAGGGAAATGTCACCATGAACTCCCCAGCCTCCTGAGTCATGCAGTTAAAGGGGATCCCATTGTTCCTGAGCACTGTGGGTGAGATGAGAGCCACCTTGTGCCTCAGGAATGCTCTGCAGACTCGGGAACTGCCTGGGAAAAGCTCCCTGGCCAGCCTCTCCAGGCGTTTGCCATGCTCTGGGGGCACTGCATACCACGTTTTGGGCTCCCCAAAGTGCAGGTAGTTGATGCTGTAGAGGTCCATGTCCTCCGTGTGCCACGCAAATGTGGTCTTCCACATGCCAAAGTAGAGGTAGGGTGTGTTGACACCCTGGATGACAACTCCACACTCCTGCTCCAACAGATCCAGAATGGTTCCCAGGTGCCCAAGGTTCCACTGCTTTGTGTTTTCATCAAACAAAGAGCCACTGATGTCAGCACCATAAATTGGGGAACCACAGAGGTGATTCTTCCAGTACTTTCTCTCCAAATCTTCAAAACTCTGGTGCGGAGGAGCCTGGTACTTTGCACTGTTGGCCAGATGCTTGAACTTCTGCACTGTCATGGCTTTCTTCCTTTTATGGAATTGAGTGAACACACCTGCCTGTCCAGAGACCACCTGCTGCAGAGGAGTGGCTATTAAGAGGTCACTGATATTGTCATAAGATGCTCTGGCTCTCCATTCCTTGGGAGGAATGACCTTGGCTAGGCCAGCTTTATGAGCACCCTGGGATTCCATGTAGGCAATGTATTTGCTGAAATTTGCAAACTCCTCCATGGTTGGCCGGAAGGTCATGACTGTGGACCTTGGCTTCTGGGTGCCAAACTGCTCAGGTTCCATCTCTCTACTGTAAGCAGCACTACCAGGAATAGTCCCCAAGTTCATAGGTGGGTGCAGACTTCCAGTGACAACGGAAAGTGCTTGCCTCTTTTCCTTGCTTCTTTTTACCTTGTGCTTCTAAATATTTTCTTATATCTGGTTTTCAGGAATTCAATTTGACCTTTTGATTTAAAGAAATTGTATTTTACATGTAGGTAATTCATCCACAGTACTCTATTGTCTATAAATCTGAAAAAAAATTGTTTGCATCAGAAACTGCAGATATTAACAACAGAAAAAAACTAAGTTCTAAAATCTGACATGTGAAACAAAAACCATAACAGTTTATTCCAATTTGAATAGGAAAAAATCATCTTTTCCAAACCTCAGAGTATTTCTTATATGCAACTTTTATAGCTGTGAATGCAGAAATTAAAGGATGTGATCTTTTGTACCTTGGTGTAACTGACACCATCTTGAGCCTGCATTTAACTAGTGCCCTGTTTTTGACCCAGGAAAATGGAAAGTCCCTCACAGTGTAAGTCCATGAGTAAAGCAGAATGAGCTGTATTCACAGGAAAAAATAGTTAAGGATAAAAAAGTTAACAAGAAGCAGGTACTGGTGTCTTCCAAAAATGAATGTAAGATTCAAACTAAATTGTTTCCAACAGGATGATTTTTTTGATTATCTGTTTAAAAGTTGTGTAATTTTCCAGTTCAGGACCATTCAGCAAGACACTAAAATGAGTCCACGTGAGTGGCTGAGGAGCTCTCCTAATTAAATTCCAAATTTATCAATTTGTCTAGTTGGATTCCTATATTGTTTCCAAACCCTCTTCATCTGGGGGCTCATTTGGGATGGATTCCCCAATAGGGATTTACAGGCTCCAAGCCTTTCTTTGATGTGAATTACTCAAAGAGGGAACTGCCTAGAGATGTTTCTCACCCCCAAGGAATCTTCACTGCAAACAGAAACTCAAATCAAAACCCTGAACACTAATTCGGATCCAGCTGTCCAGATCCTTACAGGTAAGGCTATTTTAGGTTTTTGTTGGGTGTCCTTGGGAGTTTTTGGAGATGCTGGATGCAACATTCAAGTCTCTGAGACTGATCCAGACTGAGATGTTGGCTGGGACTTGTTGGTCATCAGATCAAACTGGTTTTCAGTGTCAGTCTGTTGGTCTCTGTCTTTGTTTTGTAAATCTTGTTTGTCACTGGCTTAGTGTTTGTTATTGTCAGCTGTGTCAGTCTGCTTCTGCTTCTCTTTTGCCCCTGCAATGTCTTCTTAACCATTTTCAGGAATTTTGTTGAAAAATCTCTTCCTATGGCAAACCTGTTTATCTAGGGAAGCTCCAAACATTTTGTGAATTTAAATGGCCTGCTTTCAGGGTCTCATGGCCTCAGAAAGGGAATCTATCTCTCTTTGTATTAGCAGGTCTATCTCAAATCTCTGAAAAACAATAGCACTGCCACTGCAGGTTCCTCTGCCTCCAACCCCCTTGGGCACCCATCCAGCTGGTCCCCCAGGGAAAGAGCTTACTTGTCTCCATCTGCAGGCCCCAAACTCCCTGGGTGTCCCTGAACCCTGAAATCTGAGTCAAAGATGTCTCCAGGCTCCCACAGCAGAAATTACTTCAGAGCTCCCTTGGTCCTTCAACAATGGTGTGTAATCAGCCTGAGAACAATGCCCTAAATGGTTCCTGCCCAGGGACTCCTGGCCCAGCAGCAGCAACACAAGCAACCACACAGGGGAGACCTGAGAAGAGTCAGAATTGAGCCAAAGCCAAAATCCATGCTGCATGCAGGGGCAATGGGGGCTTCCAGCTTGCCAGGGCCAACAATATGTCACCAGCATGGCTTCCCTGGCTGGCACAAGCCAGTCCCACTGCATTGCCCCTTCTCTGGGCTTCCATTCTGAGACCCTATATCCCAACTCCCCCCCCCCCCCAAGAGCTTCCAACAGCTTCTCCTATTCTGAAGTAGGGAGGCTCTCCTATGTTTTCAGCAGACTCATTTGGGTGCTTTTAAAAGCAGCCACACGGAATCCAACTAATCTTTCTAAACAGAGGAAAGTTAGGGATCTCACAATGCTCCATCCACATTCTTGGAGCACCTCCTAAGGACCTTTCTAGGCACCTGAGAATAGATGTGTCCTAATTATCATATTTGTCTCCCTGTAGCACCCTAATATCAGAAAAAAGCTTCAAAGAGTAAAAAGATTTAAAGGTAAAAAACTCTCAGAGTAAGTGAAGATAGCCCAAAAGTTCTTCAGCTACCAAGAAGATCCACAGAACTTGAGACCTGGACTGAGCTAAAGGAACAAGCTTTCCCTACATCGAGTTCCTGTCTACCTCTGCTCTCAATCCAGTGACTCTCATGCCAGATAATGATCACCCAATGAGGATACATAATTGTTTGAACATTATTGACTCAGTTTCAAACCTGTGAATTTACCTGACAGAGGTCCTGCTTGTCCAGCCTGAAGCCATCCTTCTCAAAGATGGCAGCAGTTACCTCAACCAAGGTACTCAGGTGGCAGGAAGAGTGGTGACTACTGAGACTGAGGTACTAGGGGCCCAAGCTTTAGGTTTGGGAACTTCATCTTGGCAGACAAACTGATAGCCCTTACTCAAGCCCTAAGATGAGGAGAAAGGGTACGCCCTTGCCACCATCCATATGCATGGGGTCATTTATCAGGAAAGAGGGCTATTAACCTCAGCAGGAACAAAGATTAAGAATGCCCCCAAGAGCCAGGTGTGGTGGCTCATGCCATTAATCCCAGCACTGCGGAGGCTAAGGCAGGAGGGTCATTGGGATTTCAAGACCAGCCTGGGCTACAAAGTGAGCTCAAGGCCAGTCTGAACTGCATAGTGAGACCCTGTCTCAAAAAGACAAAAAAAAAAAAAAAGAATGCCCCCAAGATCTTAGACCTCGCTGCCATTTGGTTGTTCCAAAAGGTTGTCATTAAACACTGTTTGAGGTACCAGTGAGAAGACCCCAAATACCTCATGAAAATGCCCTCCTTGAGATGACACTAAAATCAGAGAAACCTATAACACTCCTCCCAGCTCTCCCCATACCCATGTTACATCGCATTCAGATTCAGATGTGAGACCAACCAAGAGCCTAGAACCCCAACTTTCTCTGCAAGACTGACAGATCATTGGGCTACAAGCTCATCCAGGAGACTCACTGGGCCACTCACTTGAGGGAACCAAGCTGGACAAGTTATCTTGCCTGACCATAGAGATCAGCTAAAAATGCCCACAAATGAACCCTAAGCTGGCCACCACTGATGTTCAAAAGAGACAATGAGGACTTAACCCTAGAGATCACTGAGACATAGACTTTGCCAAAATGGGCCCAGGAAGAGGGGAACATACATATCTCTCAGTTCTCATAGACACAGTCACCAGTGGACTGAAGGTTGCTCGGCTCAGACTAAATCAACTCTTGTCATAGCTAAGAAACTCCACTATGAGATAGTGCCTTGATTCGGTTTGCCCACTTCCCTGGGTTCTGACAATGGCCCAGCTTTCATAGCTCAGATCACTCAAAATTTAGCTGCACATTTACAAATCAATTGGAAATTACATTGTTCCTACTTGCCTCAAAATTGAAGCCATGTAGAGATGATAAACAAGACCAATAAAATTGCTATTTAAAAATTGGCTCTTGAGACTGGCAAAAACTGGGTGTCTCTTTCCTTTTGCCCTACTGCATGTTAGGTGTACCCCATACCTCCTGGATATTACACCTTTTGGAGCCTTAGATGCCAACTGTCCTCATTGATTCCCCATGTCCAAGATGATAAGTTGGTTGCTATCACTAATGGAGAACTTTTTAAGTCCTCACAGGCTCTGTAGCTCCTTCTGAACTCTATTCACTGCTGGTTCTGGGGCCACAAGACCATTCCTGAGAGACCTGATGAAACCCTGGCAGCTCAAATTGGTGATTAAATTTAGTAGAGTTCCCAGAAGGAGACAGCACACTTCTCTAGGCGCCACTGCAAAGGACCCAATGCAGTCACTTGAGTCCTTCCATGGCCATCAATGTTGCCAGAAAGAACCATTGGACTCATTACTCCCACTTCGAGCCCACAAAATCAGAGACTCCAGCTAAGTGGACTATAAGTCAAACTCCAAAACTGTGGGCTCTAAGGCTGTTTATATGTATAGCTAATGTGGATCCCAGACAGTAAACACCTCAAAACTTGATTCTGGTTCTTCTTACTGATGAGAACAGGGTCCTAAGTCCCTCATTTTGGGAAACATTATGGCTCTGGACTTTGTATTCAGTCTGTAAATTTCCCAATGAAGTGCTCCCCATTTTAAATCAGTTGTAATCCAATAGTGTGTGTACAAAATGCCTCTTACCCTCTCAACCAATATTTAGTCTCCCCACTGGAAACTTAGTTTGCCTATATAAATGATCTCACCCCTTGTGCTCCACAGGCTGTCTTTATTGGAGCAAACCCTGAACTCTGTAACTCATGTTTTTCCCCAAGTGTACTGGTATTCTGGGAAAAACAAGGTTTCCCAAACTCATGAAAAAAGAGGGCCCCAGTCCTAATTCCTGTCATTTTGGTATTAAAAGTACCCAGTTCCACAGCACTGGGAACCACAGCCCTCATAATGGGAGATGAAATCACCAGATACTAAGCAAGAAACAGATTGGGATCTAGCACACTTAAGCAAAATGTTTATCACCTGGAGGAGTCTCTAAATTCCATGGCTGAGAGGGTCCTTCAGAAGCAGTGAGTCTAGACCTGCTATTCTTAAAATTGGAGAGGAGGGTTTCTGTGTGTAGCCCTTGGTAAATCTTGTAGTTTTTAGTTATTAAAAACAGTCTAGGGCTGGGGATTTAGCTCAGCAGCAAAAGCGCCTGCCTTGCCAGTGCATGGTCATGAGTTAGATCCCCTATACTAATTTTTAAAAAAAATTAAAAATAATAAGTCTTAATCAGTTCAGAAAGTGCCTAGATGATAGGAAACATGACAGACATCAACAGAGTTGACCATG